AAGAGTTGGAAGGGGCTTTCGGGCGAAAGCTCCGGTAGTTGAGCTACAACCTTTGAAAGATCAAGAGTTGGAAGGGGCTTTCGGGCAAGAACTCTGACCCTCCGTTCTTCCTTTCCCATACAGGTGGTGCCCACGTGGGAGCCTTCCCCGCCTCCCCGGCCAGCCAGCCCGGGGTGGGCATTCCGGGCCTGGGCGCCGGAGCCTTCCACATGGGAGGAGTCCCAAGCAGGTAGCTCCTCCCCCTCCCCGCCAGCCCGTCCTCGGCTGGCCCCCAGCCACGACCCGTCTGTTGGGGGGCGGCCTTGCTTCCAGCTTAAGTGCCACTTCCTTTTTGGCAGCGTCTTCGGACCCCTCAGCCAGTCCCCCGCCAGCCCCGCGGCGGTCTTCGGGGGTAAGTAGGGATCTTTGGGGGGGGGGAAGGGCTCGTGGCCGACCCTCCGGGGGCTGACGGGCCTGGACCTTCCCTCCCTCTCTCTCCCGCGTAGTTCCCACCTGCACCAACCCCTTTGCCAGCCCGGTGCTCACCCAGCCGACGCTGCCGTCCACCAACCCCTTCCAGACCAACGGCTTCGCCCAAGGTAAGCCTGGCGTGGTCGTTTCCGCCGGGGCCTGACCACCGCCTCGTTGGGACCCCCCGAAACCCTTTTGCCAGAGGACGGGGCCCCGGAGCGCCACTACCAACACCTGTTGGGCGGGGCCAAGGCCCTGGTGGGGAGAAGCCAGATCTTACTCCGCCGTAGGGACTCGTAAAATGAGGGTCGTGACCACCACCAACAACCCGCTCTGGCCATCTCCGTCCGGGGGTCGGAAGCGAGTCCCAGTGTCCGAGGAGTATTTCTCGCGGAGGATCTGGGCTCCTTGAGTCTTAGTGGGTCTAGCCAGAGGAGAGGAGAGGGAGTAGAGTAGAGTAGAGTTCAGAATAGAGTTCAGCAGAGAATAGAATTCAGAATAGAATAGAATTCAGAATAGAATTCAGAATACAGTAGAGTAGAATTTAGAAGAGAGTAGAGTAGAATTCAGAATGCAATAGAATTCGGAATAGAATAGAGTTCTGAATACAATAGAATAGAATTCAGAATAGAATTCAGAATAGAATAGAATTCAGAATAGAATTCAGAATAGAATTCAGAATAGAATAGAATTCAGAATAGAATTCAGAATAGAATTCAGAATAGAATAGAATTCAGAATAGAATTCAGAATAGAATGGAATTTAGAATAGAATTTAGAAAAGAATTCAGCATAGAATAGAATTTAGAAAAGAATTCAG